CATAAGCTACATTACTGTAAATTTTCATCAAAATCTGTTCAGTAGTTTTTGCGTGAAAGAGTAATAAACTAGAGATATATATCTACATTTTTTGTGTCTTATCAGAATCGTTGACAAGACAACTTAGACCTTCCATTTTATGAAGTAGTGGAGAACTAACTATCAAATAGCAGTATTGAATAATTATTACTATTCCGTATACCAGTAACATGACAGACTGTAGGGGTCTGTCATTTGCATCGTGAATGAAATAATAGAGATGGTAGTAACGAATGTAGTCAAAGATATAGTTCGAAATATTAAAGAAGATAATTGCTAATATTTGCCGAGACAGTATTAATAAAAAGCAATTAAATTCAAGACTTAATTATTTTCTGATCTTACACTTAGTTTATAGAGAAATGATCTTACTTCAGTGATAAATAAACAGCCCTGTAATGAATTAAATTGTGTAACTAACGTTAATAGTTTATAAATTACTCTCCCATTAATCATTGTTGTTAAAACATACACATATTTTTGAAACAAGGATTAAGAAAAAAATGGGTTGTCTCTCGGACTTCTTTTAATTTTGCTTCGTCTTTTTATATGCGATTTTAGCAATTTTATTTAGCAGATTTTGGTGTTTTCATTGTTTTTACTGACTTATATGTATGTATGAATACACTGAATGTCAATATAAATATATAATATTAGTATGTAGTCGGTATTACTGTTTAAAATGTAGAGTCACATGTTCGTTGATAGAATACATTTCGTTTAAGTATTCAAACTATCATATCAATAATTACATACTTTCGACTTATTCTAGATCGTATATCTCTAATAATATTATTCATAATAGATCGAAAACCAATGCCATCACGCCATGGAGGGTTAAAAATTTGAAAACGTTAAATATCTTATTTTGTAGTTCACGTGATCAACCAGATTCGAGTTGACCTTGTTTTCCTGGTTTTCTTTCTTTACACAATTCACACACATACAACTCCTCTTCATCCACGAGTGGTTTTTGTTGATCGCGAATAGGATTACGTTTTCCTTTATTGGTCTTTTTCCTTTCCTAGACGTCTTATTTTCTTATCCTTACATATACATATTATAAATGCAAATGTGTGTCTTTATGAACATTTTCACGACTAAACAGATCTTAATGAATTTTAATATTAATATTTATTAAGATACAGCATAACCTTCAATATATTAGTATTATAAAATTTTATGAAAACATATAGGTTACCTGTAACTTATATTAATGATAATATATTTAATTTAATATATCCTAATATATTTGTTTTCTAATTAGTGGTTATTTTAATCACTTCATCAGTTGTTATTTCCATTAAAAGATTCTGTGTCACAAAGTTATTTGCTATTCCAACTGTACGCTCTACATGAGCTGTTCAGTGCGATGCGCACCCCTCGTTTCTACCCCGCCGTAATGGTTGGGTATAATATTAATATAACGTTCGTGGACGGTCGCCGCTCCAAGTATGTAGCATGTAGCTGTAGCGCTAAATACAAGCGGACGGCCGCTACGCGATGTTATTATGGCGTGCGGCTGTGTGCGCGTGCACGTGCACCGACGTGCTCGCACACCAGCGTGCCCACACCCCCCGCCCGCCCGCCGCTCCTCACCGCGGCGACCCGTACTCGCTTGCTTGACATGGCTTAGCGCGTTGTGAGGCAATGCCGTCGTACCGTCATCTATTCGGTCTTCACAATGCCATAGAAAGTCAGTTCGACTCGCCTCGCCGACCGAACTTTTCCTACCTCCTCGGCTCGGCTCGAGCGAGAGGAGCGATTATTGCACCGCTATTTCGGATCGTAGTCTAATATACCTACGGCTTCGTCTCTGACATATCGAGTAAAATTCTTTATGGTTTTAATTTTGAATAAGCAGTTACTCCTCTTCGCTATATAGCCGAGAGGTACGGTTATAAAATGCCGCATATTCGAGACTAGCGATAAAATAAACGTTTGACGTCTCCAAGTTTCGAGCGGAGAGAACGAACGAGCGACGCGCTGCGCATCAGAAAAAGAACTTTACGACAAGATTAGAAAGAGCGGCGCGAAGCGGCAACGGTGTGCAATCGCGTTCCAGAGGCGCGGAGCGGCAACGTAGAGCGCCAACGTCATTTACTAAATTTATTTTCATGAGCGCCAGCGCTGGCGACGCGGACGACACTTCTCCACACATACGAGTCTACTCGGGCGCCGCGTGATACCGATGAAACCTCGTAGAATTATCTATTTCTGCATATTGAAACTCGTCGCGCACGGTTATAATTTTGCTGCTATAATAAACGGCATAGTTGGCGTGCGACGTTCACAGCGCACAATGGAACGGCACGTTTTCCGCAGAGCGATAAAGGGGTGACGCAAAATGATTATTTGCAGCGTTGCGATGAGTGGTCGCGCTGAGTCAACGTTGCGCGTTGGTCGGCAACACTCAGCCGGCCTTCCAGCGCTCCGGCTCAGTCGCTATGTCCGCAATTCTCATTGCATTACTTACCTACCTTCGCACTAAGCAATTTTCTGTAGTAATTGTAAACTATAAAGTTATTTGTGTGGATATTTATCATTTACCAATCAAAAATAAGAAATATTTAGGAACAAGACAAGACTCATTTTAAAGGAGGTTATATTCTGTAATAGAGGAAGTGGAGCAAGCAATTATCTATAAATAAGAAACCAGGTAGCGCTGTACCTGATTTTCAGTATGTTTACAGATTCCGCTCTATAATTGTATTACATATTGGGGACGACTGAAATTAATGAATTTCATAGATAAATGTATATTTGACAATGACATTTTCCGTTTATATATACGCACATATTTCATTATATAATAATAGTATTTAATGGAAGCAGATCCTAGGTTGTAAAGGCGCGTGTGCCATCTAATTGTCAGGGCAGGTGCAGAGGCATCTGCCGCTTGCTGGACATCGCCTTTAGCTATTTTATTTTGTTCACCGCCGGCGACGGCTGCAACGTTCCACATGCCGCCCACTGGCTCACAACCTTGCGAAATACAACTCACGATGGAAGCACAACGCGCAATGCATACGGCATCAGTCTTATGACTACTCGTACCTAAATGTGATAAAAGTCAACGAGCCCTGTCGTTTTCCCGTCTATGCACTACATAGAGTCAGCGCAGCTGCAAAAATTGTATCCAAAGTGAATGCAATTTTTGCAGTACTTTCTGAACTTTATAAAACAAAGTCTGTAATAATTATACAGCACGTAATCTGATCATTTGTGATTGCTGAAGAGTTTAAAAAAGAAAATTAAGAAACTATTATTATTATCATGTAAATAAATTTAAAAGTTGTAACTAAAAAACTTGATATATATTTAATCGATTCCGAATATTATCTCATACATTTATTAATGAAATAAGATAGAGATGCCCACAATAATTGGAGCTGTGTGAAGTCGGGCCTGATTGCTAGCATGGAATATTTAAAATTTTTTGAAGAATGCGAAGACTCGGGCAGGCAAATCCCATGCCCGGATTGCGGAGCACGAATCGCTACCTGAACAAAACTCTGGTCGTAGGGGCTGCGCCCTGGAATCGCATTGTATCCCAAAAAAAAACTGAGAAGGGTCGGACGCACAATGGCGCTGTATCCAGGTACAAATCACACGGTACCCCTATGTTGTCTGTTTTAGGATACCATATAGTAATTTTACTGGAAAATAGTATTGTATAGTTTATGGAAAGCGGTACATAATCAAATTAAAACACTTAGAATTGTCCAAAAATTCAGAGTTTAATGCCTTTATTCCATACATGGTATGGGCTCGCTAACTGTTTAAGATAGTGAGTACAATACTTCATAAATTAATAAACGGACAAATCTTTAAAAATGATAACGTCTAAATAATATCAATCATTTTCCCATCGAGTACAAAGTGGTTGGTTAAGCAAAGCTTACGGTACTTTCGTCAGTCGGCTGTTGCAGGTTACGGCCCAGTACTACTGGTACCCATCACGCAGCCGAATATTTTTCGGCCCACACACCGATCTGTTTGTTGTTAACTTTTAAACCCGGAAATATTTAGTTCTAGAATTTTTTATTTCGAGTTCCATAACGCATCGAAAGAAACTTATAAAATAGATGACATCTCTTCGATGTTTATTTGCCCTTTTACAGAATTGATTTATTTACATATAGGTATTGTATTGCATTAATTTTCGCAAACATTTGAATTTCAGGAGTCTGTATTCAAGAATTTCAACTATTGTTACTATTTTACTTGATTACGAATAGGATACTATATTTCATGATTTAAATTTTATTGAGTTTAAAATCAGTCTGATTGTACAATAAAATAATACAGACGGATGTTAGACGGATATAATATAACAAAAAAAAATATCCTTCTATAAGTCGGAGTTAGTCTATTATACCCCTTATAGCTGTCACTGTCATGAATATAACAAACACTCTTCAACTGTTTTGTCCTCTTCTCGTTTTATATATTCGATTTGAGCAAGGTAGAAGAATACAGTCATTTGTTAATTAGGTATTTAACTGAAATTAGCAGTGATATTTTTTTCGTGTGATATTCGAATTATGAACTTACGTCAAACTTTGGGTTGGAGTAAACAACGTTTGTTTTGTTGGCTCTATGTGATATTAGAAACTTGTATATTTAGAATTTTTGTTAGAACGTAATGCCTTTTTATATTTAAAAGTGGTGAAATCAACAAAATAACTGTTAGGGAAATATATAAAATAATGTGGGAAATAATTATAAAGACATCAATAGTACTAAATAATAATATGTACTCAAAAAGTATGGTATCAATTTTAAAAAGTACAGACAGTTATGGAATTTTATCATTTTGCAATCAAACTGCCAATGTCAAGGATAAAGCCGATCTGGACATTATTCTTAGATTTGGACGTTGGTTATTTTCATTGTCTAAATTTCATAGTTTTAGTAATATTATTCAATTTTTTAACAGATATGTTTTGTTATTGCAGGGCTCGGGTGGCGGGTGCGGCGCCAAGCGGCGCGCCAGCTCCCCGTGCGAGGGCGGCGGTAAAGTCGCACGCTGGGAAGATTCAATAGCGCGGCTCGAGGCCGTGGCCGCCGGAGCGGGCGGCGGAGACTGCTGGCGAACGGAGGAAGAGGAGAGGCGCGCGTGCCGCCGGCGCTGGTGCGGCGGCTGGTGCGGCGCCCACGACACTATTCGTGCCGAGAATGGCAAGTCATACCTGGAGCTCGGCGGCGCCGCGGCGCGCGCCTGCTGCGACGGCCGGGCCGCCGGCCGCTGCGCCTCGAGGCGCTGCTACCGCGAAAGACGATTCAAGATGATGAACTTGTGTGCGTTGAAATTAGCTCGTTTCCGTCAAACGGCGGACCCTTCGCTGAGGCGATCTGTGTTAGTGTGCAATACTCTGCGCGGCATCGAGAGAGAGATGGAACGGGAGAGCGCCGAGGAAGCGCCTTTCGAGCCCACTTGTGTGACCGGCGGTGTGGCGCGATGCGAGCTGCTGAGCGCACGGGACCCGGCCGCCGGGCGGGCGACTCCGTTCCCCTCGCCGCCGCCCCCCGACAGAGACTCCGGATATGGCGACGAGGAGCAGCGCACCATCGACTGGGGCTCGGTGCTGAGCCTGTCGTCGCGATCGGCGCTGGACCCCCCCGAGGACGCGTGGCCCGACGACTGGAGCTGGAGCGAGGACAGCTTCGTGCGGCTGCTGGTGCCGACGAGTTAGTGCACGCCGCGCGGGCCGGAGTCGCCCGCGCCCCCCTGAGCGCCTGTGATACCGCGGCGGCGGCTGCGGCGGTGAGGTGAGGCGGCGCCGCGCGGCTGCGCCCGCCGCGGCCGCGCGGCACATCTAGTCGGGGGCGCCGCGCCGCCCGGCGCCCGGCTCTCCTCCACGAAGCGACGTCGAGGCGACGCGACGCATACACGCAGTCAGTAGTTAGTATTATATAATTGCTAAAAGGGAAGGTGCTAGCTTCGGACGTGACGCAGGACTTTTATGCGAGCCGAGTTATTTTTGATAGTTTTATTTCCTTTTAAGTGAATTCCAAACCGAAACTGAAGTGACTTAGCTAATGACATTATTATCGTTTAAACTAAAACTCAGGTGTTTGAAATTTTTGTTGAAATTATTGTGTAATTAATTAATTAGGTAAAAAGCTATATTTATTATTTTCGTTGAAAGAAAAAGTGATAGTATGAAATTATTTCTGTCTTGATATTTTCCATATAAATTGAACAACGAGGTGATTATGACTGGGTTATGTTTTATTGACAGAAATCGCTTCGTGGATGTGTGACCTTTTTTAATTGAAGCTTATACGCATTTAATTTTGAAAGATTACCTCATAAATTTAATATAAGTAGCTAACCTTTTTGACTCTACGGTCAATATTTCTCGGTTCAATTTCAACAAACTAGGAGCACACCTGCCACGAATCAGATTTCTAAGTGTAGGTCCGACAAATGATACAGATGTGTGGACATGTGCCGACCGTTTGCGAAGCACGAGAATGTTACGCCAAATGTTGAGCTACATGTACTGCCCACTGATAACAGCAGCATGAAGCACGTATGACGAGTTCACATTCTGAACTAGTGATGAACAAATATAATGTAAGTCTATTGAGTACTTAAAATTGTTTTAACTTTCATTAGTTCACATCCAAAGTCCGCTGTGGATATATGGAACTGGATGTCAATTATATAGCCTTACCAGCTGTAACTATGAAAGTTTCATCATTTACCACAGGATCATGCATTTGAACAATTGGAATTAGTGACGATCTGTTGATCTGTACTTAAAATACCTAATTTGCATTGGAAAGTAATATGAGTGTGAAGTTTTAAGAAGTTTATTGATGCGGATGCCTTCTAACGAATGCTATGGTCTAGATAGTAAGAAATTTTATTTACATAATAATAATAATGATAAATAAATTCTCATCGAATCATTTACTTCCTAACCGATTGCAGTTCCTAATGCGTACACAATTAGAGGATAAATGGTATTTTTTTGCAGTGTTTTATTCTGATTCTGTTTCGTCAGAAGACATCCGAAAATATGCATTAATTATATTAGCAACATTGTCCGATAAATTTATTAGTAAAATGCAATGAGATTTGAAACATCAAACAATCAAATTGATATCGTATACAACCCGTTGTTTCTAAGAAGAGAGTTAAGTTACTCAAAATTTGCAAAGCCGTTGTAATGCGGGTAGATGTGATCTCTTCTGATGGAGTAGCGATAACTTCTCTCATTATTAACATCGGGTTGGGAGCAACGCGCGTCAATTGGAATGTAATAAATCTGGCGCCATTAGGATTTGTGATCGGTCCCAAAAGAAATGTGTTGTTCTTCACATCTAATGATCGTTACATTCTATCAATATTTTAATGTGTCATCGTAATTATAGTTCCGACCACTCTTCTAATGTCGCCAATAGTAAAATGAACGCGCCATCCACGGAATTGGGACTGCATGGACCAAACATACTTACCTAGCATGACATTTAATAGAGCAAAGTACAAATTTCAATAAAGTAGCATGCATTAATGCTCCGGCGCATGTTTGTCCACCGTTGTCAATTACTCAAATATTTGAATTGTGATTCGGTAGCTAATGAGAGAAAACTCTATGTTCTTAAATTTAGTGTACATATTATATTATGGAGATGGGCATTATGGCGCGGATGACCGCGGCCGTTGTAAATATATTATGTATAGTAATAATTTTATTCATATCGATGTCGATTGTCCGGGTGAGCAGCTCATCACTCTGCTCCTGCAAAGGGCCCCGGGGCCCGCGCACTACCGTGTTGTATTATACAACTATTCTATTCTGTCCATGAACTCAACAAGTACAGATTTACAAATTACATTATATAAATACATTTTATTATAAGATGTCACAAAAATATTGCCAGTACAGTTATTAAGATACTTGAACAATGTTTTAGTCATTTGTGAGTTCTAAACTCGCGCACTGGATAACTGAATTCAGCTCAATCTATTTTATTTTACGGTTTATTTTGCGTAGATAATTTTTTTTGTTGAATATGTCCGTATGGTTGGTTGTGATGGTTTACTTAAGTAAGTTAGCGACTCTTCGACAAATTTCTGTTTGACATATACTTATGTACAAGGTACGTTTGTACCTGGTAAATTTTATAATCATACTCTGATGTGTCTGTCATATAGTGTATAAGACTATTTTTTGTAGTTTTTTAATTATTTATTTCCTCGGTACTTAATATATGAAAACTGATCATTAGTTAAGATATCATTTAAAAATATTTGATCAAAACATTGTACGATGACTTTATATACACTATATGCGACAGAATCACTAGACAGTATGTTGTCCCTATGCTTGCAATTACGTACAAACTCTATCCTGTCATTTTCATATTCGTATAAGTCTTTTTCAGAAATAAATGCTATTCAACACATACGGGAATATTAGATTATTTCGTTTCCGTATCTTGTTTGTGAAAATTTTATGGTGGATACTATATAAGTTATAGTGAATACTCTGTATTTTATTGCGTTGTTACTTGCCATGATATGTACGTAAGCCACCCTCGGCGGGCGTAGCTGCGCTCGCGCACTGTGTTGTGACCTTCAGCAATAATTGTTATGACATTAGCATCCGTCACATCCGTCTTTTCTGGCCACGGGCTCTTCCAAGAAGAGCTCGCAGCCGTACATACGTAACTTGCGATTACATTGTTATAGGTGTAACTTCTTAGTTTCTCATTGCCATTGGTTACCAAAAATGACAGGATCTATTATTGAAACAATTGTGAATATATTTTAGAAAGAATACTCTCATTAGAACATTATGAAACCAATTTTGAATGTAAATTATTGTGCACATCGAATTGTTAAATGTTCCTCATGTTAGAATTTCTTCAAAATTGTTTCTATAATTGTCTAATGTACGACATATTGTAATATATTAATTGTTTAAGCTATTGTGTCGGAAATAACAAGAACAGGAATAATTTTGTGAAACAATGGCACAAAGAATGAACATAAATATTATATATATTATAGAAACAGAAATGTGGCTATAAGAGCAATTTTTATAATAAATATTTACTGTTGATGAAACTTTGACTTTCATTTTATAACTCGAAAATTTCCTTGTTCCTGGAGACTAATTTTTACTCAGTCAAAAGTAAAAATTTGTAGTCTCTGCACAAGCTAAGCAGAGCTTGTTAGTGTGTCAGGTTGTATGTTTAGTACATACGATAGATGAAAAAAATATAATTATTACATTTACAGGTCAATTTTCAATCAGTCAATTCAAACACAATTCAGGAGGCAATTCTAGAATTTCAGCAAATAAAACAAGTAATTATATATTAATTTCAACGACCTAAATGCGTACATATATCTTAGAATTTAGAATGTCTCCAACGGAGATAGAATCAATGAAATATTTGAAAGAAATTCGTAGAAATAAAAATGAAGAGGCGAAAAATGCTATCCATCATTAAACGTGACGAAATTAATATGATACAGAAACCAACACAAGCCGATGGTAACTCGAATTGTTAAAAAAAGAATCGTAAGAATGCGTTCAAAATGGCGAATGTATTGCAAAGTTATAGCGTAAGATACATACAGTTTAAATGAGTCCGATTTTCGAAGTCTGTCGAAAAGAAATTATTTTCATACATCGTGTATTGGACACTTATGAATACGCACATTTAAAAAATCAAACAGAGTAAATGACACTACATATCCAATATAGTCGTGTACCTATATAACCATATTGAGCTCACTTTTTAATATAATATTATCTATTAGTATATTATATTTCCAAGGAAATATTTCTAAACTGAAAAAGAGGACTAGTAATCTAAACATTAGTTTCAATTGTGGGTACTACAATGTATGGCTAATTCATCGGGATTGAGTGTCATTGGTCTTTCAACAATATTAAAGTCTGCTACTAAAGTATATGATCACACATTTACTAATTACAATGCGGAATTAACGAAAGTGATGTGATGAACGGAATGCGCACAACAATTGTGTCGCGTCTGCACCACATTAGCTAATGAATAACAGACATGGCGACTATTACTTAATGATACAGATACACAGAAATTAATATTTTAAATGTTGCACGAATTTGGTCATCCACGATACAATATGTACGACATCGTAAGAGTAAGCACCTAATCAGTGAGCTATCTGCGCGAATCGATAAATTTAAAAAATAAACTATGCAAAAGATGCAGAAGAGGGGATTTTAAATAGAACCATTGCTAGTACCAGGTCTACCTCCATAGGTGGTCTCCCCATGGATACCAACGTGGCTATTTCACCTGAACTCATCCTATCCTATTTATCACTCACTTCGCCAGCTTTTACCGCTAGCACAAGCGATGTTAGTAGTAATCGTGTGATATATCGTAAGTGGCGATTAGAGAAATAAGGCACAACAGTATAAGAGAAGGTAACACTAAGAAATCCTGTGCCTAGTCGCGTGGCCAGCGTGGATCAATATCCGCCCATTACGAGGAGAGAGTATAACTCTCAGTTATAACTCAGCCTAAACTTTTAAAATAATTATCTCATGTATATATATAAATAACTATAAATGTCTTTAAATGTGCGTTGGTCTAATACAACATAATGTTGAATTGACAGTTCTTTCAAAGAGATCATTACATAAGGAATTTAGAAGTTCTAGGCTAGGCCAAGTAATACATAGAGTTCAACCGTCTTATCTGTTGTTTTGTTGGTGTTACTTATGTGTTTATAATATTTTTGCTGTGATATAATTTTAGGATTTTCTAAATTCCGTATCAGTCACACCCTGAACGCCATGCAGAGTTCTCTTGTGTTTCCACATGTCGCCTGAACGTCTGTAGACAATAAAAATATTGAAGTAGAGTCTTAGAAGTAAAACAAAGTAAGATTTGAGAAATTATATGTATTAATTTTTAGGTAAATTTAAAAACAGTGTGGGAAAGATGAATTGAAAATACTTTTTTATAAGTATCTTCTGAGGTACTTTACCGAGGTAGACTTTATATAAAGTTATCTGTTTAGGTACTTTTCTCAGCTGCCAAACAGCATTGTTAGATGTATTTCGCTTGAACGGTGGACACCACATCTCTTGACTCTCTTCATACAAAACACACTACTATAGAAATTTTCTACCATAACTAGTTAAACTCTATAAAAACATATGAACACATAGAATAAGGCAATAAATATTAAACTTTAGAGTTTCTTTAAACAAGTTTGTATTAGAATTGCATGAACTGAAAAACTCTACTTTCACCAAAAAAGAACCTATTTTTAGCTCATTCTCATGAACAATCCAAAACAGTATTGCTATCGTGCTGGGATGAGGGGAGACGTAAGATATAAGAACAAGAATACGGATAGAACCAATCCACAAAAAGACCTACATCGTAATTTTATACAGTGGACACACTCCTCTTAACTCATAATGTCAGCTTATCGCAGTGAAATATATAGTATATATGGCGACATGTAAATTAAGTCCAAGAATTATGAATGGCATGAGTGGTTCCACGGGCGTCACACGATAACGTGAGGTCCATGGTGCTTTTCATGTATATAGGTGATAGTTCCTATGGTTTTCGCTAACTGTTTACGATGACGGGCGTCAGTGGAGGATGATAAGATGAGCATGAGGACAGGCCAGTTAGCCCATCGTGTTAAATTCACCATGAATTAATCACGATGGTTTCCAAGGAGAACCACGTGGAGGTCAACCTGACATAATACATTGCTAGCAATGTGATTATTAGTCCACATTACTAATAATCCCACTATAGGTGACAGTTATCACTTACCATCAGGTGGTCACTCAACTTGTTTGCTTTTCCAGGCACAAAAAAATATGACATAACAGCAGAGTTTATGAGGCTCACTTGGAAAAACACATATTTCTTCTATAGAATGTATTCTATTCTATTATTAGTAAAGAGTGGCAAATGTAACGTTTCCTAGAGGCTTATCATCTTTATATAAATACATAAGCAATAGTACATATGTGTATTTTATTTAATATGTGACGTTTATCACTTCCCAGTAGTGTTTCTTTAATAAATGAAACTAAGAACCCGCCCCGGCTTCGCACGGATGTAAATATATTATAGATACAGACCTTCTTGAATGTATTGTTGAAAATTGCATCAAAATTCGTTGCATGATTTAAAATATCTAATCGTACAGACAGCGGGGGCGTTTTTGTTTTATAATTTGAAGAAATTCGAAAGTAGCTTTTAAAATTTTAATGAGACAAACCTGAAAGCAGTTCCACAGACGTCACACTCGTGAGGTTTCTCTCCAGTATGTATGAGAGTGTGGACTGTTCGCGCATAGGGTCTTCGGAAAGCGGCACCACAGATATCACAACGGTATGGTCTGAAAAAATTGATGATGTAAATTATTATATATTGTACTTTGTGTTTACCCTTAACGCGGTCCTGGATAGCATTGTGTTACTTCTAGTTGACTCTAGCTGTAAAGAGTTACGGCGCGTAATCACGGCCGCGATGGTCTAGCGGTATAACACACCGCTTTACTTTCGATGGTCGCGAGTTCAACTCAACCGAAGTGCAAAACATTTTGTATGGATGAGCATGATTGTTTGTTTCGGTCTGGGTAAAAATAACACATAACGTAAGCAAAGCTTGTATTATGGGTTATTTTTTTTTATAAATAGTTACTACAACAAAAAAATAGTAAAAGTGGTACTAGAGGGTGCTGTGTTAATTATTCAGGGTTATTTATTGTTATTAGTCACCTAACTTGACTTCATTGTCATCCTATCACTGGTACTCCACTTGGTCATTTCATCATAAATCATAACAATAGAGAACTAAATCAAACTATGTACTTATTAGCTTTGTCTTTAAAACCAAACCACAACCACATTAGGTGCTTCAGATAATATACAGTAGTGACTACGTAACGAAACTACTCAAAATTATGAAGCGATAGTCTAGCGATTTAGCACACTGCTTTACTTTCAATGGCGGCGGTTCCATTCCTCGCACGATACAAACATTTATATTCATGAGTATGATTGTTTATATGTTGGTCTGCGTGTTTTCTCAGTATATTTATTTATTATATATGTATTTATTGATAAAACTTTATTGAATTTTGTACAATAGGTGGGCTTAATGCTAATAGCATTATCTACCAGCCAACCTTAATGAGCGCAGAGATACTCGAAGGCGGTTTAGTTTATACAATACAATTATATTAAATATTAAACAGATATAAATCTAAGACTATACATATATTTTCTAAAAAAAATATGTCCAAGTATTTATATCAGTTGTCTAGTAGGTAATAAAAGCTCTACTTAGCTTGGGACTAGATGGCGCCTGTGAATTGTCATGAGTTATTAATACTATTTGACAGACTATTATTAACACATACTAGTAGCCGCAAAGTTGAAATGTATATGTATATATCCCTGTGGATCATTAGAACGTTCAGCGCCTATAAAACTCAGTTAGAGCCGGTCACAAACTAGAATATAGTTAACCCGAACATCAACAGTCGAGCACTACTACGATCAACTTGTGTACAGCGTTATTATACATAAATACTAGTTTAACACGAGTACTTATACTAGCAGTAAAGTAAAGATGGAAAAGTAAATGTCCGCTCTAATGGAACATTCCAAAATTCCATGACGGCATGAGAAATGACGGCCTCGGTGGTCTAGCGGTTTAGCAGACCGCTTTGGTTCCGATGATAGCTGGTTCGATTCCTCGCACGACACGAATATTTATATTCATGAATACGATTGTTAGTATCGATCTGGGTGATATCTATGTATATTATGTGTAGCTATATACAAAAATATATACATTTAAGTACTTCTATCAATTATCTAGTATACCTATAACACAAGTAGACCTTGTTAGGTTGCTTAGCTTGGGATCAGACGGCGCTGTGGGAATTGTCCTGGGTTATTATTATTATAGGTATATACCTATCCAAAGATAATAACAAAAGTTACCTAATTCAAAATATGCCTACTACATATGTGTAATATGGATATTTTTCTTTTCTTTACTACGGATAATTTTCAGAGACCTTTCTTTTTCAAGTGAAGTCCGTTATATTGATTTTGTTCGTATATAACGTAGCCTATGTCACCCGGACCATAATAACAAATCGATAGACTACACATTCATCAGGATCAGATGAGTAGTTTAGGCACTATTGACGAAAGTACATAAATAAATATGCATCATAAAAGTATGATATTTTTAAGATAAAATATCCCACCCCATCATAATTAGTGAGTGGGACACACTCAAGAAAATATTCATACAAATATCTTTATCATAAACTAAGATATTGATTATATTAATATAATACAAATTAAAAGTTTTTTATTTGCAATTTATTTCCAAGCATATTATTGTTATTTAATACTAATGTACAAAAGGCAACGATTTTCTTTGTCTATAAAACACAAAGGTTCCAAGTGATTACGTGCTCTCGTCTAATTCAAGACGCCTGGCGCCATCTGTTGAACTCCTATGTAGGCTTTTAATTTAGTTGCACCCGTACGCCGACAGAGGCGCTAGATGATCGGACTTTTTCATGACCCTTTGTTTTGAGGTTTAAATCTACTTATATCTCTGATATACATGCACTTTTTTTATTCTCTAAAGAAAATATCAATGCACTAATGGTTGTCCTAGTAAATGGCTATAGAAATATTAGAAATGAATTCGAATCCAAACTTCTGATTTCTAAAAATATGATTTAGATAAACATAAACAATATTCAGTATCAATCAGATTCTACGTGAAACCACACTATTCTGTGTACTTAATCATAAGTACCACAATTCTGTTGTAAACCTATTGACAGTAAGCCACGTGATGAGGGCCCCTAACTGATTAGTCTTAACAACAGATGGCGCCACCATCACACTACTTCTGACAGTAAGAGAGTGGATTTTTATTTTGTTCAAAATATCTAGGTATTTTAAATATCAAAACTATATTAACGTGTAATAACTTGCTTTCATATTGGCTTTGAGTTCAACGTGTCGTTTAACTTATAAAACGTGTGAACCTAAATATTACGTACCTAAGATATGGATAGATTTTTTATGCATGATAATGGAATCATTGACTGTGCTAACAGTCTACGCTAGCGGGGCAGTGGAGGATAATAAAATGAGCATGAAGTCAGGTAGCCCATTATGGCAAATAGAAATTTGCCAAGAAAGTTTTCAGGGGAAACCGCGTGGAGGTCAACCTAACATGGTACATTGCTAGCAACGGGGCTGAAATGTAGACTACATTACTAACAATCCTCTTTCCCCTATATGATTCAGAGTTCTAAATTAAAAAAAAATAGTACAAGTGTAATAGTAGATTTTAATTAGTATGCCTTTATGGCCAGTAGAGAGAATAAGTTGAACCTTTGGTCGGTATGAATGCGGGCATGTTCACGCAGGCGTGCGGCCGCCGTGAACGTCTTGGGGCAGGCCGCGCATGCGAAGGGCCGCTCCCCGGTGTGCGTTCGCCGATGGTCGTCGCGCTCCACCTGCCGCACACACCATTTCACACACATTATCATACGAAAAAATACTGGGAACCATCTTCACACTACGTATTCAATTTGCCTAGGCGTTTTAGTTTCTTTTTAGCGTCTAACCATACGTTGCAAGTAGTCATTATAGTCACAAGGAAACTGACGTCGAAACGTTCGATGACTCGAGATAGAGGAACGATTTATTTTTTCTTTTAACTTCTACTTAGACTTTTCATTTTAAGGACTTAAAATTAATAATATCCATTCTCAGATGTTATCCTAAATGGGTCCAATTTTCAGAGGCATTGCCAACCGTCGACATCGTGGTCAACGTATGCAACACTAGACATATTTCACATTCCAATGTGGCAGAAGCCGAGCCTGTCACCATCTGTCTAATTAATTTGGATTGATATACTGGGAAATTGCTACAATTGTGGCACAACGATAAGTCGACCTCTTGTTAGTACCTCCCAACAAACTAGTGTGGTCAATTCCTGGGGAATTTGTCATGATGCGCTATCTAACCAGTAAACATTCACTGGTACCCTGACGGCTTACATATAACGCAGGCAAGACATCACAATTAGATATCGTTACCTTAACTTTAAATGCCTTTGGACATAAGTCACATGGGTATGGTCTTTCTCCTGTATGCATCCTCATGTGTATGGCTAGGTGTCCGGACTGGTTGAAGCGACGACCACATATACGACATGGGTAACCCTAAAAAACCAAATAAATTAGTCTCTACTTATATGTAATGGAAAGCAAAGCTAAGATGCTAAGAGGTAACCATCATCTGCATATTTAAAATACTATAAAAAAGTAATTCCGGCGGACAGAAATGTCATGCCTCTTATCCTGTAATTTGACTGCCTTATCTCGACCTACTAGGTACCTAAACACATCTTACAAAGCAAGCTGCTTGACTGCTGAATACTGTTTGCGTTACACTATATTATAAAAACACATTAAAAAACATTTTAAAAAAATCACTTTAGCCGATGTGGCCTTATACCGGTTTTGAAACTTTGTGCATTTTCTTGTGTGTATGCAGAGCGCACATACTTCCTAATACTTTATCACATTCCTCGCAAACGTATGCCGTGAGAGGTGCTCCTGGCGACCGATCTTCGCCCCGTTTATGACGATATAGTTCCCTGTAAGAAAATAAACATGTAATTACAAGAGAAAACTAATCGTAAAGACGCGTATATACGCGTATAAACTCATCTTTACGAGTATCATATATCATATAAAGGTATAAATTGAATAGAGATAAGCCCTTTAACAAATAAAATTTTTGATCAGTTTTGAAGTTACATATTACTAGCTAGTCTCTATACTCTCTGTGAAATAATTTCCCCCCAGTGGTATTTCTGAACAATTACGAAATTATAAACTTCAATAAAGACTATATTCCAAATTAGGAAGCCGGTACCACTTGTAAATAAATCCCTGGTACTCCAGATGCTAAGGGGAAGCGGGTATTTACTTACCATGAAGTGAGAAGCAAGCTGGTTCACATATGTTACATAAAAAAATACCTATACATGAAATATTTATTTTTGTGGATGAATAATGTTTCAGTGACTTTGAAAATATTTATTAAAATTGTAATGCCATACGAAATAGATACCATTTTTACTCAAATATAATTACATAACTAGACTATTATTAGATATTTATTCATTGAAGCGTCCAAACCATTTTAATATATTATTGTAGAATTTGTAGTTATCCCATAATGTTATCCTGTCATTGTCCTTAGTTATTTTTATGAGCATTAAGAACAATGCCACATATATGTTTATAATAAAGTAATTTTAGGCAAAAATTAATAAGGCATATTTTTATCGAAAATAAAAAAGAAAAGATATGATACCTAGCTGTAGCAAAAAGCTGGTTACAAGACCCACAATTCCACATCTTGTTGTTATTATTGTTAGTGTACGTGCGTCGTATATTTCTAGTTGCAGGAGGCTTCGGACACTGCGCCTGATGGAGTTTTAAGTCTTCCGCTGATGAAAAATCTTTCCCGCAGTATTCACAGTTACAATAAGTATTTTGATTGTTATGTATCAATGAATCGCCTTCAACCTGAAAATATATATTTTTAAGAATCGATTGGATAGGTTTTAGCACAGATAACATAATATTACATAGTTTTAGTAAGAGCATAGGAAATGCATACTTAACTACTGTATACTTAAATAAAACAAAACTATAAAGGAGTCTGTGTCTATACGATATTTTTTTTTTGTCAGGAAAATCTTCACAGAGCACTACATAGCTACCTATATTTACAAAATGCATACCCAATACAGCATCTTAGCATATTTGTCTGATTGACTGTTGGTTTGTGCATACAAGAATCCCGTAATACAAGCATTCCAATCAATTCGTAAACAAAACAGCTACTAGGTGTTAATTTAATTTTGGTTACTATAATTTATATTAATACTTTATATAAATACTAGCTTTTGCCCGCGGCTTCGCTCGCGTTAATTTATCCCCTTAGGGGTGGAATTTATCAAAATTCTTAGGGGATGCCTACGTCAAAGTAGCTTTATGCATGGAAAGTCTCAGCCCGATCGGTTTAAAATTGACAAAGTTTCATACAAACTTTCATCCCCTATTTTATCCTTTTGGGGGTAGAATTAATCAAAATCCTTTCTTAGCGGATGCCTATGTTATAACATCTGCATGCCAAATTTCAGCCCGATCCGTCCATTGGTTTGGGCTGTGCATTAATAGATCACTACATCAGTAACCTTTGAGTTATATATATTTAGATACGCTTTTACTCGCAAGTATAACCGTTTAACCAATAGGACTTGATATCAATAAGTAATGAAATTTTATTCTAACCAACTGTTCTAAATAATAATTCTGTTCTTCAACATTAAAACAACTCAGTCTATGTCTGTCCAAAGCCTCCCCATCAGCGAATAAGCCATTGCAAAATTCACAAACGTACATTGTAATGAGTTTTCTTGATGACACGTTACCTTTGCCATTGCTGTTTACACAACATAACTGTTCTGAAAATATATTTAAAAGGCACCAAATATTATTACTACATATGAAGCACGTCATTTATTTTTAAAGCAATACCGGCGAAGGGGATTGTTAGTAATGCGCACTAACAATCTCAATGCTAGCAATTTATCACGTCAGGTTGACCTCCACACGGTTCCCTCTGGAAACCATATGGTATATAAATTTGCCACAATAGGCTAACTAACCTGACCTCATGCTCACCTTATCATCTTCCACTGGTACACCGCCATTTGTTTGTATTGGACAATTGAATTGCCTTGCCTTTATCCTAGTTAGTCCTATATTAGTTGGTGTCAGCGCAGTATGCCACCTTCTTCCACTGATGCCTATCGGCCGTCATATCAACTTACTCTCCTTTTATTATACCCCTCCGATCGATCCGCCGTGCATTTCAAACGGGGACCGAAGTTACGACGGCCTAAGCCGAAGTTCAAACCCCTAGCGGTGACCTCAGACTAAAGTCGTAGACTATAGTCCTTCCGCGGGTTTAGAGTGCCATCTGCACTCGCCCTCTATCGTCCGGTGAAGCTGTAAAGGCTAGCTGCAGCCAACATTAGAGCATTAGAGTAGACCGAAACAAAATTTCCTTTTATTCATATCACAAAGTTCATCCATCTTTTCGGGTGCCCTTCTCTTATACATCTATTCATTTTCATTTCAAGTATTTTTTACGCTTAACTTTATTCCTACAATGATAGCACTCATTGAAGAGAAGTTAGGGTGAGACGTTGGTTTGAGATAAGCTGAGTCTACCGCCAACGCTTTTATTCCTATCCTGAAATGCTTTATATTAAGACAGGGCGTAGCATTAATTAACAGGAAGTAAAACAAATATCTACTTTCTTTGCTTCCTGTTTTTACATTTTGCTTATTGTCTTGACGTAACTTAGCCAAAGCTACTATCGATTGACTTGCCCAGTTTCCTCCCTGATAATATCATAAATGCGAAAGTGTATATGTCTGTCTTTTTGTTCACAACAACTGAACGGATCTTAACGAAACTTGACGTGAATATTCGAAGAAATTTTATGGCCTTTAAGATATTGTTTATCTGAAAAGTAACAGCGAGTCTCATTTATATAGACGGATGGATTGCCTCGGTGGTCTAGTAGTTTAGTTGGTTAGTACACCGCCTTAATTCCGATGATTGGAGGTTACCTAAAACTAAATGACATTGTGTGAGATATCTCAGGTTAGTATTATTATAATATAATCATGACTGTAACAATGTAGTAAAAATGTCATTACCACTAGGTTCTATTTCTAGTGCTGTCGATAAAACACGTTCGCACGTCGAGCACACCAGCCAGTCTGCCTCCAAATCTACAGCGCTATTTTTAGGATCTGAAAAAACACAGGTAATATTAATGCTTTCGTAATGATTAGCCGCAATTTTCATTTTCATATTTATAAAGAATCATAATCCACGTGTATACAACATAGTATCGATTATGATTGAGTTTGACCTAGAGACCTATTTGCCTGATTCTTTTTTTTAATTTTTGGAAGACAATTTTTATATCTATGAAAAAAAAATTATACAGAAATTCAGGTAAAGAAATTATTACAGTTCGATGTTGAGTTTATTGGTCTCAAATCCATTGATAATCGCGAGCGAAGTAGTAGGGTAGCTAATTTACAATGATTTCTTAAATCTTTCTTAATTTAATTCTTCCTTGTTAAAATATGGTGTTACTATTTTTTCTATGAATATAATATAATACATTAATGGCCAGCATTATACTTTCAAGTCTCCCCATAATACACCAAGATTTGTAGATAGGTACGAAGAACTGTGCTTACATCGTTCCACGTTTGTTAATATATTTGGTCGTAAAATAAAAATTTTTATTTAGTTATAATGAAATAGTAATATCAATAATACTCAAAACAATAACATACCATCTATTGCAAGGATCTCCTTTTCATTACTATTATCAATTATTGCTAAATTGTTTTGATTCACTGTCGTGTTTGAAGCATGAAAAGATATTGTATGGTCCAAAAGATCAGAGTCACTAGTAAATATATCGTGGCATATAACACATGAATGTAAAGCTAAAATATCAGGTCCGTTAGTATTTAAGTCTTGTGATTGTTGATTATCTAGATCCTGAAAATAAAAAAAAGTTCATTGTTTATTGTTTAGCAGACTCCACTTGATTCAAAGTGGTGATCTTCTATAATTTACACGAACAGTATCACTGATATCATGTCATCATATGACGTGGCCCCTCTCATGCTTTACAATTTCTGAGGTCTAAGTTTTTCTCTTATACTACTATATCTTATACTTCTCAGTTGAAACCCATTAACAAATCAATTTACTTAACAGCATAATTAAGTGAGAAATATCGAGTTTTCCATAATATAAAATTATAATAACAAAGTGTAGTTAGGAAACTGTAAATATAGAATATTGTATTACATTACCTTATTTTCCGCAATGCTTTGTATAGGTAATAAAAATTGGTTGACGGTGTTCTCATCTAATAATGTAGGTTCATAATTTATAAGATTATCGGTTTGTACAATAAACATTTGCATATTTGAGTCAGCAATATCGATATTGCTGAATCTCGTTGCCGTACTTTCAACATTAAAGTGTTTACCAGCATCATTAGAATGAAAACTCAATTCATTTTCTACATTAGTGATCATTTGTTCTGTTACTGTTACTAAATCTCTGTTTATATCTGATAAATGGTCGTTGGTATTAAATATTAAGTCATCTGGTCCATAATGTGCTTTTAGGCTATCTGTCAGTTCTTTGTAAGGAAAATCCGGTGGATCAAACATCATTTTTGCACAATTCTGCAACAAAGGAGCTTTATTTAACATATAAAATGTATATAATATTAATGAAATAACCATTAGATTTTAGTAAAAGGTGTGGAGTGGAGTATTTTCTATAACAGTTCTACAGCACAGCTTCAAAAATCTTCTGTTCAAATTCGTCGATATATAACAGTCAGTAAGGTATAATTTTTCCCATAATATTATACCCCACCCAATGAAGTCAAAATTCTTCAGTTAGATTTACCCAATCTATGTGAAGTTAGGTTTGTGACATTAGGGCAATTCGTGTTACGTTAGGTAAACGCTGGCGGAGTGCGGACAACCTCCTAGAATGTTTCAGCATTATTAGGTCAACACCGTGGTACGTCCCCGGGGAACGGTGGCTGAACAATATTTGGTTATGATGCGCTTCGGGCGGTATGGTAAATGTCTTCAGATTACCATTACCCTAGTGGAAAGTAGTTCGACGAGAGGGGAGCACAGGCTGAGACAATGGGTCCAGGTAGGGCCCGTCCCGGCCGTTAAGCATCGTGTTGGTGGGGCGCTCCTGCCGTGGTTCTACTCGTATTCCGGTGCGTCTCCCCCAGGGTGGGCAAAAGCGGGGAAACCGTGTAGAGTTCCCCCCTCTCCCCACGCGTTGAGTACGGCCCGCTTGAGGGCAACCGCCGCTGGGGTCGCGGTCGATTGCGAACTCGTTCTTGCGACCCCGGCATTATGGCGGCGAGGAGGAATGCCGTATGGTTTAGGTATACGCTGACGGAACACCAACCGCGTATTATAGCATAAGCATGAAATCAACAACCAATTGTTGAAATGGTATATTATCGCTTTGTCGCTCTGGAGATCGATCCTGGTACATTGATAGCAATGAGGCTATTTCTCAACATTACTAATAATCTCTCCCTCAAAACTCAAAGTAGGTATAACATATTTTTATAGTGCATGGTACAGTCACTTTCTATATGTAGTAAAAGCTCTACATTAATTAAAATTTATGTAACGTAGTGATTACTGGCTCAGTGATTGAACTGAAGGTAGAAATGTAAAATTTTGAGATGACAAGATAAATTGATATGTTGACATTGACAGTTCTGACAGTATAAACTTCAAAATAAAATGTTTTGTTTGTTGTCGGCGTGAATTTGACGTTTATTCTGTTATTATTTTGCTGCTCATATTTCAGTTATATTTTATGTTAAAAAGATTTTTAGAACACAAAAATGAAAACTGAGAGTACACAACCAGAAGATAAACCAAAGGCGCCTAAATTACCAACACTTTCGCAGATCAATGCTGATATAATTACACAAGTAAGTTAGGTTATAGTCAATTTCATAATATTAACCAATAAGGGATATTTTCCGCCCCAAATATTACACTATTAACGAAATATAAATAATCATACCAGTGATATCTTGACGTATTTAAGCAACAATTATTAGTCAAGAAACTAAGCTTGAAATTGAAATTCTAAATGATGCTTCTCATGTGGCATTTAAAGTAAATTAATCCACATTGTTTGGTGCTAATGTATATGACTATTCTCTGCGCAAATGGAAATCTAAGAATTTATGTCAAAATCCTGGACAGGCTATAACTGAGAGAAATATTCATTCATTCATAAAATGGTTTGATTTAATATATTTGTAAATGCTGGCACAAAATCTGGTAAAGAATCTACATAGGTCTAAACTAATAATATTCCTCTATGTTGTGGAGTATAAATTACATACTTGTTTATACAATTTATACCTTATTAATAAATTGGCACAAGCATTGAATATCATATTAGTTTTTGCAAAATAAAAGTCTATATATTATCCAATATACTTAAATGTATAATATACTTAACATTAAATTACAAAAATATGTTAGACATATAAATGTCTGAAGTTTTAAGAGATTTTAAAATATTTCAATATTACTCAGTTTTGTTTGTATAGTTGAGCAAATTTCAATGATATTTGATACACAGTAAGTATACTTGCTAAATCAGTATTTGTATTAGTTTGGGATATGATCTATTCGTAATAATATATTTCTTGTTGTCATTCACATTGCCAAAGATGCAGAATACGTCTAGTGTAAACATAATTTCAAAATTATTATTAGAACTTCAGTTTTATTTCATTGCCGAAATTGTTTAATATTATGTTATTTAAGAATCTCACTATTATTAGAAATACAAGTTGTATTTGTATTTATAATGGATGATAATGATATGGTACATTCCCATGTGGTAATGATATATGCAGAAGGGACATGAGTAGATGATGATAAAATCAAGTTAAAGGAGCATATTGTTTCGATATTATCAAGAATTTTTCATAATGGTTTCCATGGAGGACCATGTGAAGGTTGTGACTAAAGCTTAATGACTAAATGTGACACATTGCTAGCAACTCTTCCCTCCCCTTCTATAAATACAAGTGATTGTTGGACTAATGGATTGCTGTATCAGCAACTATTTTTAATCATTTTGGCCACCAGCTCAAAAATATGAATGTTTATGCTTGTGTTGTGTTAAGGTTTGGGTTTAAAGAATATAATTGGTGTAATATGGGCAGCAAGAGCAGGGAACTACTAAGTCAATAAGGCTTTACATTAAATGAATGACTGATAGGACTAAATCAAGTGTCGCTATATATATATTCAGTGATAATTCCTGGTTATATGTTTATATGTCTTAGTCCACTTTCCATCAATGTGTCAATACAGTAGTTTGCCATTGTAATTTGTATAAAAGAATATTATGGATTTATTCCTTATATATTACAGTAATTTCTATAAAAAGTGGCGAAGGGATCTTAAATTCCTGTTTGCCATAATCTTACACGATATTATCATACTTTAACAAATTCATGCTATTTGGTAATTTCTATTCACACATTTTCATTCAAAATGTAATTTTTAAAATATTTTTTTAATTTTTGTATTGAAATTGCATTTCAAAAAGTGCTTAAATTTAAGTTTATTTTGATAAAGATTGTTTCTATTCTATTAATATTAAAGCAATCAAGGTTGCTGAAGGATTATTAAGTTACATTTTATTAAAATATTAAAACTAATTTGTAAACTCTTAGACACATATTGTTAACTATGAAGGAATATTAACAATAACAGTTAATATTTAAATTATTTATGGCCATCTAGTTAACTATGTTATTTCATGTTGGTCATAATTTTATGTAGGTTGAAACCTACTGGTACTTATACATTGATAAAAATCTATGTAACTATCCTCATTGAATTAACATGGCCATATTGTTTACAGCTAGCCTCTCGGTACTGGTCTCCACAAACTAAAGAAAATCACTTACCCTATGATGCCTCAATTGTGGAATCAATTTACCAAACAGAAATTCTTCGATCCAAGTGAGTAATTTAATATATTATACTCTTAAAAACTTTGTTTTATGAAACATTTAAGCCAAAGTGATATAAACAAATGAATGCAGTAAGGTCAACAGCCTCATAGATTGGGTGCATTGACCTGATTTATTTTTTTGAAATTTTGCCAGTTGTAAATAATATTTAGTGTTCCCAGTTTTTGGTAATAATGCTACTATTTAATAATATACTAATATTTATAATGAAAATAATATACTCAAATTCTATAATCATCACTTGATACTGAATTATAAATTCATTGACATTATAATATTAAAGAGGAAATAAAATGTTTTATTAAATAACTACAAGTAAATTTATTTTACTATATATATAAAATATTAATTTACTTTTAAATAGGTAAGAAAATAAATAAAACTGTAAAATATTATTTTAAAATTTATTCATAATAATAGTCAACAAAATAGTTTCTGAATATGAGTTATTGAGAATATGAAAGGCACGAGTCCAGAGTTTATATTATTCACACGAGTATTTCAACCAATTTACACAAAAGCTTAACAAATTTTAACAATATTTTATTTTCGATTCTGAAACTATTATAATATATTTGATTTTAAATACATAAAATTAATTACATACCCAATTATCATTCTTACAGTTTCTCAGTACGTCGTATTATGATGCTGGAGTTCTCTCAGTACTTAGAGAGTTACTTATGGCCGTACTATGAGGCTGGACAAGCGTCGCACGCGCATATGATGTCCATCATTGTCATGATCAACGAGAAGTTCAGAGAACGAGTGCCAGCATGGCAGGTTGGTGTTTGTTTTTTCAAGAAAATAATGATGTAACTTTTGTATGTGAAATTTTAAAATAAATAAATATTAACTCTTACGTCATTAGAGTAAGGTTTGATTCACACTATGATGGATGGCTTATCCTAATGTTATGTTGCTTGTAAGAACTGATTTGCAATTTACTGAGACTGATTTAGCTTCTTTACCAAATTTGTATAAAGTAAATTATTTGTTTAAATGATTACTAACAAATTATTATTATTAGTCCACATTACTAACAATACTCTTCTCCACTAAGACGATAAAAATACGACAGTTTTTGTACATTTCAGGCGTTCCTAAAAAAACCAGATCACTTCCCAGCATTTTTCGAGCAAGTACTCCGTGCGAGTGTCGCCGACGACCACACGAGTCGCAACATGCGCGAGCAGACCGCGCTCCTACTATTTCTGAACCATTGCTTCGGGAGCATGGAAGTGCAGCTGTGCAGAGACCAGGTCAAGCGACTTGTTTCGCTAAGCATGTGGATCAGTTTACAGGAAGGTGGGTAATTTATTTATAATGTTAATAGTAAACATTATTACAACAAAGAATCCAGAGTTTTACACATAGAAACAAGTTGATGCGTGATCACCTTTGTTGACATACTTAAAGGTGAGGTAAGGTAGTTAAATTACAGGATACAATGGCATGACTTTTTAGTTTTCCGCAATGCCTGAAAGGATGTGAATTCTTGGTACTGTTCATGTATGTACGCGACGGCTACTTGCCATAAGGTAGGACATAAGCTTGTTTGCCATTCCAATTATATATACAGAACTTAAAATACTAATGACCTCCGCTCGGGTTGCAGACCGACGTAGACAAACGAACATGACAATAACTTAATGGGTTTTGTATATTTCAATATACAAGTAGTATACAGTCTATGGTATTTTTTAAAAATATCTCAATTTGGTGGAGTGGTTCTGGAGTTTACTTACAAAATCAACTCTATAATAATAATATATTTAATTCAGATTATTAACCATAGTTTTAGTTACAGTATCTTAAATCTAATATTAGTAGGAGCAAATACAGCATCTTTATAGTATTCATACAAATTATAAAATGAAATAACATTTGAAATATTGTATTAGGTATGAACATACAAAGCAGAAATGTACAACCATATCCTTAACAAATAATCATCTGAGATACATATTTGAATAACCGAAATCCTTACTAAAATTGTAAACTTTGTTTTAGGGCGACGAAATCAAGAGTTTAAGTCAGTGCCAAAATGGCGAAAATATTGGAAAGCTATTCAGAAGAAGGATAAGCCAGAATTGTTGGAGAAGCTGAATTGGGAGCGCCGCTATCTGCAACAACTTATGATAAAATTCATGAGAATTCTAGAGAATATTCCCGAAAACGAAGATGTAGACCCTAATGTTATCAGGTAATACAAACTTTTTATTATCCATTAATTACGTCATAGGAATTTTGTGATTTTTATCTCAGTCATATTTATGACACTACCCCAGGAATATGACGTCAAGAAATTTAAGACCCTTTCACTCCTACGCCTCTAAATGACCATTAACTTTAAATTTAATTTAAATAGTATTATTTAATGGATAATATTAGAACTTTATGTGTCCGGATGGATAATATTAGAACAATATGAGCCTGAGGCTGACCTCATGCTAACCAGAGTTAATTCATTTCATCAGATTCATCAGAAATAAATCACAATGATTTCCAGAGAAAACCAAATGGGGGTCAACCTGACGTAGTAAATTTCAATAGACAGTCCCATTAATAACAATCCCTTCCTCAGTTTTTTTATAACTGTCAAACTTATACTGAAAGTAACACGTATTGAATATGTCAATACTCACATTTCACTGGGTATTTTTAAAAACAGTGTAGTAGCACGATGCTCTTATAACAAATACTATATTTCTTTTAACAGATACTCTTTTGGTGTTAGCCTAATTCGAACTCTTGATCTTCGAATGTATCAGATGATAAATCATTAAGCCACGATGATCTTATTTCAAATACTCTTTCTTTCAACAGATACTGCGAGCGGTTTTTAGAACTGATGATCGACTTGGAGGCTCTGTTGCCCACACGTCGTTTCTTCAACACCGTCATGGACGACTGTCATTTAGTAGTGCGCTGTCAATTGGCAGCTTTATCTAGAAGACCCGAGGGACAGCTGTTCATGCAGGTGAGTGCTTTAATAGTATAATATGGTCTGGGCAAATTAAGGAGTGTTCTTGCAGTAGTTTTTTGTCCATGAAAACACTATATTAATATTAATATATACATCTTCTTACTAATATAATAAACGCGAGTTTGTGAATATGGATGCACGTTTGATACTCTTTCACGCAAAAACTACGAATGGATTTTCATGAAATTTAACATCAATATAGCTTATAACTCAGAATAACATATAGGCTATAATTTTTAAATATGTTATCTAAATTGGGCGAAATATAACGTAACAATGAGTAAGTGTGATGCAGGTGAAGTTGCGCGGCTAGTAATGAATAAATTATGAAAAATAGTATAGTGTTAACAAAACTATATTTTATTATATTATATATTCCTAAATCTTAATAAAATATCTGAAGACTATTTGTCTGTGCAGATCTACGGTAGGTAATAGACTATAGTGCTTTAGTATTTTCATCATCCGCAAACTCTTATTTTTATCGAATAACAAACGCACTATTGCAATATTTATGGTTTCATTTGTGGCCTCTAATTTTATCCACTGTTCATTATGAGATTATTGGGATACTTGAGAATGGATTCTACCTGTGGAGATTAGTATATTTAAGTTATAGCTGCAGATTGAATTATTTTTATTTTTTGACATTAATCTAATGGCATATGGTGTGAATTTACCTAAACAAAAACCTCAGTATGTATTATAATTGCGTACAATCTCATTAGAAATGTGTAAAAGAGGAAGTTTTTGTATGATCTTTTCGGTTAATAATACATTTTTAAAGTTATGGTAACACTTATGACAAGTATTAGTTATATACTGAATGAATAATGATATCTAAATTTTGATGATCATAGTAAGTCAACGACATTCAATAGTTGTGTAATAATTATGAGGAAGGGCAGTAGCATAAGCTAAACTATCAGTACATAATGAAGACGATATTAATGTACTGATAGTTTAGCTTTGTGCTAGACTTTACGAGATTCCGGGAATTATTATTAAGAGAGTGGTGATGTATTGGTCTCTAAATAAATGATACATCATTATTCACCCAAATGTTTTATTTTAATAAACGTCAGAATAAAAATAAGTCATACAAAACAATAAATGCTTCACTACTTGAAATGCTAGGTTATATTTATGTGTGAATAAAAAGTATATATTTTGTAAATAGTAAAACTAGAGTACAGTTTAGAGAGCGCATATACATGATAATTTTCTAAATTATAATCACTACCATTATGTAACAGGACGGATTTATTTTGTGGTTTAAAAGGAGCAATTAAAAATTATCTCTTTAAAATTCATAAGCAATAAATCAATGCAAACTAAATCTTATTGTTTTACTTACATAAAATATGACAGATAAATTTATAAAAGAAAATAATAAAATCATAGCTGAGCAAAGATACCATGCAGTCATTCACAACATACATATATAAACTAAATACTTTTTGTTTTACATTCTGTTAATTTTTATTGGACAGTAAAAGTCACATAAAACGTTGGTACATTTTTTTAAACTTATTCTTTAAAATGCAGCCGTGTTTTATTCTTAACTAATAAGAATTAATATTAAACAGAATGGTAGTCAGTATTTTCTAAAATCTTGTCCAATTATTACTTAAATATAATGTATATTATATCAGTATATCCTATAGTGATATGTTAGGATATATTATCGGTAAAATATATCAATCAAGTCTGTATATTTAAATTCTACAATTGTAACAGAGATTCTTTCAGAATTTTGATCTGATACATGCATTATGAAATAATTTATATCTATACATATAATAAAAATGTAACATAACATACATGAAATATATATGACTTTACCGATAACATATTTATGACTTATTTGTGCTAACAAGTGCATGTTATCATCTAATAGTTGTGGACATATTTTTTTGTCATATTATGCCAATTTCATTGGAAATTATCAATAGAGCTACGATAAAATTAATTGAATAGACAAGATCAAAATTAAGTATCTTTATGAGCATTCAGATTAGTTATGGCAATTTAAAATAATATATAATTTAACTGCCGTTACATCTTAACTTAGCGAATTTTATTACCCTTATAAACATTTAATTAATTTTGTACATAAATAAGGAAATAATCCCTGTACAGCTATTTACTATTTGATTTCTATAGCTATTCCTTCGAGACACTTGTAAAAGGCACAAGATTTGTATAAGACACTGCTTTCAATCATTATCCTAAATAACTTAAACAGATCGTCAATTAATGATTTCGAATATATTTGGTGCATGAGATTCAATATTAGTCTCAAAAAAATGTAATATACAGTAAAACAAAGCTATCAACGCGTAAAAAATTGGAGTCATCTTAAAGCTAGCTATATACATAAAAAAATTTATGTATTATATGATTTGGTAAAATTAATTTCTATTTTAGTTACATATTTAATTTTTATAATTACAAATAGCTAAAATACAAATTAGCACATCAATACAAATGTTGACAAAGTGCATTATAAATCTCAATTCCTGCATCATGCTTGCAACTATTAGGTTGTTCGGAAAGTAATTTCGTTTTTTCCTAACTTAGGATTTAATTGTATTTTTTGCACTCAACTTCACACTTAAGCCGTATAATATTTATATGCTTTGAGAGCTCATATAGCAAGGCTTGTGTGTGAAAAATATCAATTAATTCTACGCAGTAGTTTTTGGTTGGTGCCCTTTTAAATATGGAGAGGATAAGCAGCATTTTCGGCATATCTTACTGTTTTACTACAGAAAGGGCAAAAATGCTGTTCAAGCCAGAAAGAAATTGACCGATGTGTGTGGAGAAGGTGTGTTAACAGTACGCCAGTGCCAGAACTGGTTCGCTAAATTTCGATCCGGCATTTGATATCCAAGATGCACCACCCTCGGGAAGGCCGGTTGAAGCTGATAAAGGTATTGGTTGATTCGAACCGGCGAATAACACAACACGTGACATCGGATTCAGGTTAAATTTATCAAATTTAACAATTTATGACCACTTGTAAATATTATACGGCATAATTGTGAAGTTGAGTGCAAAGAATACAATTAAATCCTAAGTTAGGAAAAAACGAAATAAATTACTTTCCGAACAACCTAATAGTTTTTGTAACAGCGATTATTATATATTTCACTGAAAATCAAAGCCACCGCTTTCAATATCAAGTTTTCAAATTACGTTTTTTACACAATACAATTAGAACACTAGTTTGATTGACTAGGTTTTTTACAGATGTTTTGTTTACACACCAGGCCACGTGTTGAGCGGAGCGCGTTTATTGTTAAAAAGTCGACTTTGACGGTTGGGAATTTTTTTGTGATAAACGATAGACTTGTAGGTCGACTTTCGATGAAATTTTGGTCTCGATCGTCAAGTTGTTTTGGAGGAGTATAGTTACAAAGAGTACAAATCTGATCTTTGGATTGAATGAAGAATTAATGAAAGCGTTCATTTGAAAAATTTGATAAACAATCATTACAGCACCTTCCAGATCATAAACCCAATTATTAAAATAAGCAATTATGGGCAAGATAGTGTTAAAATATTATTGTAAATCAGTATAAAATATTTTTATTGTAAATTCAATATACTGTTATTTATTAATTTCGTTTCTAGTATCTTCATATGCTTTCGTAAAAAAGACATCAAAATGCCTAAATAATTAGATCATTAATAAAATTCAAAAGGTTTTTTTCACTCATATGCCATCACAACCCTATATTACTACGGCCATTAAAATGGATGACCCATAAAAGCTGCGCTAATGCCCATAATCCACTACTAATACCTATTCAGACTTTTAAGTTAGTAATTTCCACCGTTCATGTGTGTCATCTCATCGCCCCATTCACCAGTTGGTACTGGTTCCGCGTAACAACAACTCTTTCTTAAAAGAAACGTGACGTGTGACTGTTTCACAACACATACATAGAATATGAGGATTGCTTGAAGTATATTCACAACGATGTGAGCGTATACTAGTCCGTCGAAATTGAGCCAAGACAGCAGGAGGAATAACCAAGCTGTGGTCATTATTAGAAACAGTTGCAGGAACAGGTTAAAACTGAAATGTAAATAATAAATGGTTTATTATAATTGTACATATTTGATAAAAAGGAATAAACGTAAATACATTTACTTTGATAAAATTATTTATGAGATATTTCGATGGTATTACAAACGTCATGGTCGATTATTTTTACACACAGTTAAAAAGTTACTCATACCGAGATGCAGCTTAGTAAACTGAGGATACCATTTCTGATAATAAGAGATTTTGAGATTTAATATAACCTCCATTGAATACAAATCATATTTATTTTGCAATGAAATCCAAAACAACAATGGAATATGATATGTAAATATATGCTCTATTATAAATGCACACAAAAGTGTTACTCACCATCCTTTGAGTTTATGATGTATCCGTCCATATATATTGATTCTCTTTATAACCTTCAGAGTTGTTACATAGAAAAATATATTGAAAATAATTGTGAATGCGACTGGAGTGAAAAAGATCGCAATACCAAGCCATCCTGAAACATAAAGTTATTAGCATATAAGTTACTAGCTACTCGCCCCGGCTTCACACGGGAGTACATGTTATATATATAAACCTTCCTCTTGAATCCCTCTCTATTAAAAAAAACCGCTTCAAAATCCGTTGCGTAGTTTTAAAGATTCAAGCATACATAGGGACAGTCAGACAACTTTATTTTATACTATGAAATAATGATGAAAATTATTAATTAAGTATTGTATTAATGACTTGTGATTAATACGTTGAATTGATGTAGAAATATTTTTTTTTAAGTAAAACATCCATGTTATTTATGATAATGTAATTTTTAAATTAGTTAAATATTTTTTTAGTCAAAATAAAGATTAGCTCGAGACCAGAGCAACAAGTATATATATAAGAATAAGAGAGGATACATTATTTTATTTCGTTGGCATCATAGACTTAATACTTAATCCGTGGAAATGCGTTGGCATTTTCGAGGATTAAGATGTCATGCCTAAATACATACCAATAGTTTCTTGTTCAATATCATCAACAAGTATTGATGATGAGAACTGTGTGCGTGTTTTCCTATTTGGATTAGTGCTGGTATCCAAAAGAAAATGGGCACAGATAGCCATTGCTGCCATGATCGTGACACTCGACCAGACCACACTAGAGTAATAACAATATTTGCGCACATCCGTTACTCTTAGGAAGACATTTCTCGACCTGAAAGAACAAATTATTTTGTTGTATATTTTTTATGATTTTCGAGAAACTGTGACATGAATATAGATTGTATCAGGATGGACATATGATATCTTGAAAAAAGTTTAAAAGGGTGTGAATTTGAGGAAGAAACATTTGTGCAAAGTTATAGGTAAAAGATAGTATAATTTATGTTAACAAGTTTTAGATTTCTAAATTAAACACTTACTTAAAGGTCTTCCAAATATAAAATCCAAAACTGTTCAACCAAAAGAATGCACCCAATAGGCTGATATATAAAATTATATCTGAAAAAAAAAAAATGTAACATAAATACACTTAAATTAACATTAACTAACAGTACAGTTGATTATACTAGTGGAAAAATATGCCTATATTGATTCTATAGTTCGATGACTCTGAACCAAAAGGTCTTACTGTGTAACTATGAGAAGTTATAAAACCTGATATATATAAGATTACCTGACTTAACTGTAGACAGGGTCTACACCGTAAGACCCTGTCTTGGATATTTGTGGTATTATTCAAGCATGTGATATTAATTATATTGTTAAGTTTATTTAGTAATACAAAATCATTACTATACATACTACTACTACTGTATTTCAGTGGTCCTATACAAATTTGTATTACTATTAGTATAGTTCATATATAAAATTTAAAAAACAACTTACCAGTTATCATAAAACTCACATGGTTACTCAGTTCTGTGAATATTCTTACAAGATCAGCTGCTTGACTGACTATCAAACAAACATTTATTGTAGTTATAATATTTCCTGCTAAATCCCTCAGTGTGGGTAAAACAAAGTATATTATCGCCACTAGGAGGAATAATATCATAGCAATTGCATGGAATAGTGGATTGAGTATTTTCTTCATCAAAAAGTTTGTGTCTTTCCAATTGATCTTTACTTCTGGTACACACACCATAGCATATTTCCCTGTCTTGTTTGTATTTGCCATTAAAAACTGAAAAGTAATCATTAAGATTCTAAAGTCTTAATACCTTAATAATAAGTAAACAGTTTCAGAAAAAGAATTAATGACATTAGGGACATGAAATTCCATCATTATCATAATCTAATAACCCATAGCAGAAAAGGCAGACAATTTGTTATGAACTTTGTAAGAACAGGTACCAGGATGTGTAATAATGTCAGTATAAATGTGTACATTATCAATTTTGAATTTCTATTGCTTCATCTTCAGGTTTGTATCTAAGGTACTATATTTTTAGATATTTTTTTTATATTTGTCTTAGGTAACTATTGATACTTACTTTCTCCATGCAATATTTGTTTTGAACATGAATAAATGATGTAGGTTCCTTTTCCTCAGGTATGACAATGGAATCATGTATACCAAATGTATTAGCCATTAATGGATCCTCATTGACGCTGTCAGAGCTATGTTCATGATGGATTAGATGTTGTAAACGACCATCTGATAGAAGATTAAGCCTAGAAAATAGCAAAAAATATATAAATTTACTTAATTATAATAAATTATCATTCCCAACACATTATCCTTTAGGTATAGACAAAGTTTCAAATTCGCCTAAATGGGTAATTCAGTTTTCACTGTCAAGATTTACCAATGCATGTAATGCATGCATGGTTTTTATGGTTGGCATGGTTACTGGACATGTGATATTGCTGTTGCCAGAATCTATAGGCTTGTAATTACCACATACAATTAACTTAATGTATCACAGGCAAAAATTTTTTTGCTAAGATACCCGGAAAAACACTATATTTTGTCACATACATGACTGATATGGCCCTATATTAAAACTTATTTTCCGACATGCCATGTCAGTCTTATATGTCTGACGCATCCAAACAAGATACAACAAGTATTAACCTATTGTTTAGAATACAGTGCCGTCTACCTAATCGCGTACACATCAGACATATGTCTGACATGGCTCATGTAAAACTTCTTAGCATCAGATACATATGACTGATATGGCGATTAACATGTTAATAGTGTCAATAAACTGGTAACTATTACTTACTCATCCTCTGAGTTTCCCAATTGAAATATTGCTCTCATTTGTGTCGTGGTACAATCTGGCACACCATATACAATGCGGACATATTTCACATCCACATCTTTGCCTTCCTCCGTTTTAAACTGTGGTTCCCACAATGCTGCAATGTAACAGTTTACAAAAATACAAATGTTTGCTAAATGCTTTATAAATGTTCTTTACAATTTATACTAGAGTTTAGTATGTCATTGTCTTTCAATGATACACAGTTAACTTACTTTTACATAGTTCACATGTATATTTCTGTGACATTACAATAGAGATTTATTATTAATATTTCACAATGAAGAGAATTCAACAACACACAACTGCTGTGTAATTAAGCTTTTTGTATTGCATTTAAGTCTACTTTAACTATAAAATAGTTTAGTAATATATAAATAATAAATTGTTAGATTATTAAAACAAAATTGTGAATAAGTTTTTAATTATTGAATTAAATAGTGAGAACAGACAGTTCTACTTATATTATACACAGGTCTACTCAGAGTATACTATGCTTTAATGTTGTTAGGCTTTGACATACTATTACACAGTCCCACTTACTTTGGTTGACCAATTCAGCTAATCTGCATATGGAATCGACCATGATTTCATTTTTCTCACAACACTTATTTAAAATCACTGCATTGGCTTCTTCTGATATTTCGTTAAGATCCTGTTCGCCTACATCAGCATGCAATACTGATGTTGTTAATACAAAGTAAACAATCCAGAGATTCATTGTTTAACCTATTATATACTGCTAAGTTGTATTATCACAAACAATACTGAATATTTACCGCCGGTGCAACTAACGTTAAGGCACGCATATTTAGTAAAGCTACGAATACGAACACGGTTGTTTACACGTGATTATAACGCGTAACGCTTAACATTTAACCTTATAAACCTCTTATTCTACGTATAACTTATTCAATAAACTAAATTTGAATTGAAATTAGACAATAATGAATGAATCAGTAATAGATTACTAATGACTTACTGATACTGACTGATTGACTGACGGTGAGAGATGAGACTCACCAACGATTGACACAATGTTGCCAGATGTCAGTCTCAAGTTTCGGCAAATTTTGTCCAAAATCCCCCTAAAAATTAGGAATTAAAAAAAATACAATTTATATTTATTTATTGCAGGATATATAAATATAAATTGTACACTACATATGTAATAATAATATATGATGTTTAAATTGTAATGACCCCTTCGTTATAAATTTATATTACATATTTTATTTTTACCATTTTTCTGTATTATTTCCCACATGGTCACATAATACCATTTTCAGTTTAAAAAGTGCGTGGTATATGTTAGTGAAATTATGGTATGGAGGCGGTACTTATATGAGGTACGATCGCTATCTCGACATAAGCTGAATTCTCGGGTTGTTTCCCATTATACGAGTGTAGTATCATTGTCACAATCTTGATTATAAAGTTTATACTCTTATTTTTATAGATAGTTTATACTTGATTTTCTCTTACAAATGTTTAACTTTGCCTGAGTTGTAGGTGTACCAGTTTCAAAACGCGTTTAATAGTACTCTGTTACTTTTTCAATTAAAAAGCAAGACACAAACAGACATACTAATAATAAGAATACCTACTTAATTCTAGATAATCCGTTATCTTTTTATGTATCGGAGAATTTAGCCTTTTATTGCTACTTAATATCGTAGGAAGAATTTCCTGTATTTTGATCTGTGATTTCAAAGGTTCTAGTAATAATGTATATAAAAAAATAAAACACTTCATAGTTTCATTATTTTATTACATGCTTTGTAACCATCGAACGGCTATAGGAACATTCAAATGAATATTATATTTTTTATTATTTTAGTATTTAGATACATTCATAAAACGTTACTTTTTTCACATAACGGAATGTTTATTACACTTTAAATTATGAATTACATTAATATAGAAATTCGATTTATTATAACATTTTTAAGAGGCAGTGTATCATATATTCTATTGATTTGTAATAATTTAAATATCAATTTCTCATAATTTTGTTTTATACATGATTACAGCTATTTACATAATTAGGAATATCTTGGCTAATTAAGTTAGAAATCTTACTAACAATGTACTAATCATATTTAAGATTACATGCTTCTCATTACCACCGAATCCCGAAGACAGATAGCAAATATATCTGGAATGCTTACATTATAGTAGGTAGGTATGCAATACACTTGTTTCAAAAATATCATATACCTGTATATTTATACCACACTCAACTCGTATGAGTGAGTACAAGCCAACACAACGTATGAAAAATAAACATTACATCACAATAAACGAATTTTAAAATTAAAAACTATTATTATGGCACAATATACAAACAGTAATGTATAACTATACTCATTATAATTGTATAAATAAATGATTTATATAATTTTTATATACCTACATATCACACACGCATAATACACGCATAATCCTTTACCTTTCATAACGACAGTTGGCGAGAGTATTATTTTATAACGAATTAATAAAAATATATAAGTATATAAATAAGTTGGAGATTCTTTTTGGTATATACCTGTAATTTACATGCTATCTTATATTAAGGAACTAAGGCAAATGGCTCGCTATCAGTTGAGCCTGACTTCGACTGTGTCATCTGCGAGTATGTGCTGGTCACATTCCTCGTCGTTGGGACTTAACTTCTCAGCCAACGGCCGAGTTATGCGCAGACAACAGCTCTCATTGACCAACCCGCGTATAGCTCTCCTCCTTAATACCACCAATATCACAAATATGGTAACGCCTTGCAGGCAATTGATTGTATCCGTGATTTTCCTGTAACAATAATGACAATGAATCCCAGATAGTTGAAAAATATTTTCACATATGAAAACATCAAATGTTACAATAATTAGTAGGAGAGAAATTTTAATTGATTAGACTAATATGAATCATCAAAATTATTTCAATAATTGTGTAGATATGTAAGTTTACAAAATGAAAGTGAAAAGTTGATAAACTAATTTTTCATATAACCCATGAGATGGCATAAATTCTACTTAGAATTTAACTTTAAAATAATGTCATTCTATTAGTTTCATTACTATAATTAAAAAGGTCAGGTAAAATCAAGAGTTTCGGTGCCATAATTAATTTGTGTATTGCTCTTTATTACCTAAATAATCTCAAACTCACTCTATATCTGTTTACGCAGAGGCATTGCTAATTGTCGCCTGTTCAAATAAGTAAATACGGGATATAATTACCATAGCACGTGGTCTTTTCCATGCGCAAAACTGGCGATCTCGAATATCCAGGATAAACCCATGACCAGGAATAGTTTTAGAGACAGATAGAACCTGCAAATCACATTTGCTTGTTATATACACCACGGTTAATATTGACACCATTATATGAAATTTATAAAAGTGTTAGTTTTACGTACGTGTGTTTAAGTATCATTACTTTATTTGCCTCATATTGTTTTCTGTTCTGACATATCGTGTAGGATGATAGAATGAATAAAACTATATTGGTAGTGATGAGGACAGCTATCGGTCCGTAGAAGAATATCCAAGTTTCCGTTCGGTCTGTAAACAAATGGACAGTATGTTTAGAAAACTCGTCAATATGTAACCTTGTCACAAATTTCACAACAACTAATAGTAATCAGTATAGCAATGTTTTTGTTATCAATAATGTCACTGTGTCAAACTGTTTACGTACTGTTGATCGTGACCTGTACCTCGAAAGTAAAGCAATGTTAAAATTAAACACAGCAAATCAAACACAACATTATAGAGTCATTTAATATTACACACAATTTTGTCTAACTGTATGCTACGATGCTGTCTAATAAAGGATTCCATCTATCTGTGTACCAAAATTTTATGCAGTCGTTTTGTAACAAATTATGACGTTTTTAATATTAATAGTAGGTTAGCTTAAAATGTTAATTATCTAATTTGGTTAAATCAGCTGTCAGTAATAAGATACCACTTTATTGAAAACTTTCTAATTAAGCTGAGACATTTGTATGGATCGTGATAATTTATTATCAGGTCAGACATACTTATGAGATTACATTAAGTGCTACAATTTGATCTTGAATCCTGATCTATACTAGATATTGAGTTGAAGTTGAAATGTAAATCTACTCACGCAATTGCAACATTTTAATTTTTACCTATTTGTCGCTGGAAGAAGGTAGTATCTATGATACAGGCTCGGCCTAGTATAGATGCTACTGGTAAATTATATGTATGATGCGTATTTAACAAAAATGTAATAGTTTATAAGGAGAATAACTGTAACTACTTAAATTGGTGTCAATAAATATATTATTATTATTATTATTATTATTATTGAATTTATACTAATATTATTCTTTGTTTACGACATTTGTGGTCCACCACTGCCGAATAAAGAAAATTTTTGTTATCTTTCCTTGAAATCATGTGGTTAATGACGTCTATTAGATATTTATTACTACCTATGTTTACCAAATCGCGGTTCAGTGACAATACATATGCTCGAATCATTATGCAAATACAGATATGTTTATGAGTGCCTAATTAGTGACTCCACTCAATGATTAATGATCTTCCACTGTTAGATATGGGTAATGTCTAAATAGTTGCCTTAAGATTACTAATAATATATAAATAGAATATTTTTATTTATCCATCCGAAACAATATAAAGTAAGTTTAGCCTAACCATACAAAAACGTTTAAAATTATCTCTCAAATCAATCGTTATGAATAAAAATTATTATATTAATATTGTACATAATTATTTAAAAGCAACTTCTATCGAATGACGAACTTAACAATAACTCTATTAATTGTAATAATAATCATTCAAATAGGTGCAAAAAGGAAGTCGGTTAAAAAAAATATGAAACACTATTATTTATATCATGTGACTAGATTCTGATACTTAATAACAAAAAAAAACATTAAAAAAAGTATAACTGAGTATTATTTTTAGGCTTATCAGATATTCTTAAATAAAATACAAACATATGTAGCTAATTGGAAATTACTTACCCGCGAACCAGCAGCTGGTTCGGTTGAATCCCGGTTTCCAGTGGTCGCCCTCCATGAAATTAGTTATGACAGCCACCATTAGGAAAACGAAAGTGCCCCCCCATGCGTAGCAGCTATACCAGAAGTATTGCTTCCTCTCAGTCTTCTTCATGTAAGTGGGATCCCTGGTAATATATTACAATATGTAAATTTATCAGTTTCTCTAATATCTTCTAAGTTTTCTTTCTACATAGTCATTTATTTTAAGATATATTTAAACTAAAATTATTATGTGGAAAGAATTGTTATTAAATATACTTCTCCTATTTCTTTTTATATATTGAAATCTACCTTATCAACCAACATGGGGTTTTATTTAAAAAAAATTGAAATTTCCATAAATAATCATTAATATCAGAAAGTCGATGTCCACGTCTGTCAGTTTATTCGTATTCCTATATAAATAATGCAACGATTTTTATATGAGTTTCGTTGTCTTTTATATCTGTATTTTTAGTGTAGATTTGTGATTGATAGTACCTAATAGTTTTAATAGTAATTGACTTACCTGGCAGTGCGGTATACATTTATGCAGATAACGTTCATCCAAAAGAATGTGGCCATCATCCATGTGTATAGGAGGAAAGCTTTAAAACAAATAGTATTAATTAATAATTACAATTTTATTTGGAATGATTTTTATATGACTGAAGATACACACTTATCGTCAATTGTCGGTAATGAGAAGTAATAATCATCTTATTATATACCAACCATATTAATATTATAAATATGAAAGGTTTTGTACGTCTATGTGTACCTTTTCGCTACTAAATGTCTGAACAGATTTTAATGAAATTTGTCATGAAAATAGATTACTACGAGAATATTCTAGAAAATATAATAGGGGGTGAAAGTTTATGCAGATGCATCAATCGCGTAATTGCTAGTCTCATATAGGTATCTTAAAAATGAACAGACAACGTTCTATATTATTAATTTATTTATTAGTACTGTTCTATAAAAAGTTGAACGGAATCAATTTTGTAATTCTTTTTCTAACATATATGGGATATTGAGTTCGGCAGTTAGGTAGGATGACTATGTGTATATTTCTTTAGCAGAACATTGCATATTTCTAAATAAAAATAAATGTCTCATGTTACACATATCATAAAATATATAATCTTCATTCTATAATTTTAATGTGTATGCAGAGAGAAATAAAAATAAGCGGATAATTATCTTAAAATGGCTGTTTTTTTCCTGGCTCTTTTATATAATTATTTATATGCCTATTATTATTTATTTGTCAAAGCTTTTGTACTTTTGTATTTGCTAGTGTAATTGTAATAAAATTGCAAATTTTTTTACGTAACTGGAATAGCAAGGACAACACAGTATTTGGGATTCTGTTTTTTTTTACTTACCTGTGGTGGTGCACAGATCACCGCTGTACCATCTACTGAGCTGTGAGGTGCCAAGCATCAGGAAGCCAAATGCCATGCTGATACACATACACATGTAGCATAATCCTTGTACATCTCTGAAATATGTAATAAAGATGCATTATAACATACAGGCATGCTATTCAGGTTTTGATTAGGTTTTTCAGTATTAAAAATAGGGGCCATTGGTTATATGTATATTTTAAAGTAAAATATTTTTTTTGGTGTGAGCCAAACTTATCACTTAGGGAAACAAACCTATTCTCAGACCTACCGAGTATGAAATTTAATAAAAATGGATTCAGGTAGTTAAGGTTTCCATCGTGGAGAACCAACGTGACACGAGATTTTGATATACTTAGATAACTTTAAGATATAGGTAGATATTGTTTTTTATGTAATTGGTTTGGTAAACAATTGGACGTGATGGAAAATGGTAATACTATAGACATGTACAGCATCACGGACAATTCATGGTTAAAACAAAATTATTTATTCATTTCTATAAGTATTTGTATTAATTTTGTATTTGTCTGTAATCTGTATTTTAATGGAAAAGAAACAGTATCTATTAAATCCTCTCAAACATTATACAATGAACGTAACTTTTGTCACAAATATATACATAGATATAATATTTGCATAGGTATTTTTTTATTATTTACAAATGCGATAACGTAGGTAATATAGCTATGTAGGTATAAAGTAATTCTTTTATCTCTAAATATTAAGGTGTAAAATAAAACCGTTGCCATTCTGTGTATTTATGTTTTTCTGCAACCATATAACGAGTTTTGATACGAGTTTCGCATTCATTTAGATTTCTATTTATTATTGTTTTGCTAGATGTTGTTAATATCTCTACTGCCTTATAAATATATTAATAATATTTATGTTGATCCACCAGGGCGAAGTGAAAGCATATTTATCTGTGGTTCACAGTGATATGAATATTAATATCAGGCATTAAAATATAAGGCACCACTTTTTTCATCATAATACATGAACTTCACCTTCTTGTTATTAAACAGCTTCAAAATGCAGCATACAAATTCGCATTCAAATCAATCGAGCCGTTTTTCAGATAAGACAGACAGAAAAGCACAAATAAGTATAATTAAAAAAAAAAGCTAATGCAAATAATTCAATGTTTGAAAGAATATTTACTGTACCGACAGGGTTCGTTTACACTCTTGTTTTCAAAAGATGTACTTGATCCGTCTTACGATTCATATTACGAATTACTAGAACAGTATAGAAATGGAGTATTACAATTTGCATTTTAACTTGTTTACCATACGAAGATATACTAATAATGATACATATAGCATTTAGCTTAAAAGGGTTTTCCAAAAACAGTTATTCAGTTATGGCGGATCTAATAGCTGCAACGTCGAGCTGTACCGTTATTCGAAACGGTAATTTGTCTTAAACGCCTAATATTATGAACTGTCTGTACTTAACATATGAAAATGTATGTAAATATCAAATGACTAGAACTACCTACGTAAACATAAACAGGACTGCTACTCGCAGAAACGTGTATTGTGAATAACTGTGATAGAACATAACTAGATCCTTGCCATGTTCCTAACTAGTTTATTCTAGCGCATAACATCGTTTACAGCGGCAATATTTATACATAGATATCTTTTTGGTATTCTCAGCCGGTATCAAACCGACAAGAGGATAATTAATTTAAGAATATAAAAACTATATATTTTATCGATATTAGTGGTATTTTTCGAAAATCCATTTCATTACTTAATTGATTTATATAATTTTATTTTATTCCGCTACCATTAACATGTACACAAATACTATATTCAGTTTGAAAACCTGACCGCCGCTACTGGAAGCGTTACGATCTTTTTATTGGTGATCAAATTCCGACCGTTATTAACTCTCCTCTGACTTACTTATTCTTACGCATATAAGCATACTTTGTAAGTAATTATCTTACCTCAGTTGGGGAAAATAGCTGTAAACAAGGACGGTGCCTAAGAGAAAAACCACTGATATAAGTGTCAGGATACCGCTGACCTCGTAATCTTTATTTGTTTTCGGGATTTTTTCGAAACAAACAATAGCCACTGGGATAGTTCCATTTTCATGGTTTTCAATGTCACGATACATATTACCAATACAATACCTGAAATTTATAGAAAAATAAATCAGTATACTATAATATAATGTAATAATAAATATATTTATTAACGTACTGACTGACTGGCAAATGTTTTTTTGTCATATAAATTATTTATAGTAAAGTAAATTTCTCAATAGGCCCACCCTCATTAACTGAGGGTTATACTCCATAATATAATAGTCTATGACCTATTCTCGGATATTACATTCTAAATATATAAAAAATGATCTTGTCGTTTTGAAGAAGTTTATATATTAGACAATCTTATACAAGACAGATGCTGTTTGTTCAGCATAGGTACATTATAGACAAATATAAATTTGGCATCCAACGACAATGTTCGTGATATAAATATATTTTACTCTTGTATAATGCTTTCGCAAGAGAAAATTTACAAGTGCAATTCACGCGGGCGGTGTTATTGAAATGCGCTAATAAAAGAAAAAGGAAAGTAAATTACTAGCCCGCACAGCAGAATTCTAGTAAGTTTGTTGTTGGTACACTATTAATACATAGAACTAAATAAATATTATCAATAAATAAAAATATAAGTATACTCAAAAGAGTAGACGAATTTTAAAGATTTTTCATGTTGCACGTATGTAACTACGGATGCATTATTAGGATATAACTGAATATCACGCAGGCAGCACCATTAAATACAGCCAGTAAATAATATATAGAGTTGCTCCTGGGGAGTAAATTACCGGTTATTGTAATATAGGGAAATCTTTCGGCTTATTATACTTATACGTATATGTTACAAGTTGTAAGAATTTCTTGTTACTTTAGAGGTAATATTAATATAAAATAAAGATACTAACTGTTCTGGGTCATCAACGAACACGAAATTGGGTGTATCCACTGTGGACACCTTATCTCCTTTGAGGATGACATCTCTGAGGAGCAGCTTTCCTTCCTTGCAATTTAATGTTTCCATATGGGTATCGCCGCAGAATCCTTTGGGCCTGAGTATCTCTCCATTTGGACAGCACTGCTTAGCTGATAGCGCTACACCGCAGCTAATTAATACTAAAAATAGTGAATGCTGTAAAACAAAGAGAGTTATTATAATTTTTTCTACCAGTCTCACCTATTTCAGCCACCAAGCAGATTGCTTTGTAAGCTGTGTTTCAGCTGTAGTGTGAGATGAGTGGCAGTAAAATTACAGGATAAGTACATGATGTCCGTAGTACTGTTCATATATGTAGACGATGGTCACTATTTACCATCAGCTCATTAGTCATTCCAATTACGTGAAAATAATTGTGCACATTTAACGCGCAAGTTAGCCTCAAATACACCCATTAAATTCGCACTCTCTAATAATATAAGCATAATATGTATGCCGATAAATACTTTTTTATATTTAAATATGAGTATAACATTGTTTATCAGCACTGCTCTACTGTAAGGGTCATCTCAAAACATATATGTACTGCAATGATTGTTATTTAATTGTTACACTTAATATTTTCATACGGTCGTAGAATGTCGATGGGTTTATTGAACCTCCAACTGTCAGAGTCAGAACTCATATGAATATCAAGGTGATCCCGTTTTAGCATTTACAAATCGAAAGTGACAATATTACAAAGTATTTCGTTTGAAAACAAAACATTTTAACGTTTTTTTTTTTATTGTACTACTGGACTATTCTTATGTTAAGACTATCCTGTAATTAAAGGATTAATAATTAGAGAAAATATTACGAAATATATTATATAATACACAAACAAATCAAATTGAGAACGTTCTCCTTTTTAAGTTCATTAAAAAGAAAGACGTGTTCCGAAACGTGATGAAATAAAAATAAATACTTAAAGGGAACTCAGAATCACTGAAGACAAATTTTGCGAATGCAATCCTATGTATAGATTATGGTCTCATAATAATGAATAATTACATTATAAAGATGTTACTAACTATTCTGGGCAGTAAGAAATGTCACGGTCATCGTGACCTGAATCTCATGGAATTAGATCATTTAAGTAGGTAATTTCTGAAAACAACACAACATACTATGCATATGAGAGTGAAGTAGAATTGAATGATGATAGGTAGGAGTAAATTTGGCGATTTTGTTAAAGCTAATCTCACCAACTTCTTTCTGTAAACAGTGGGGCCGTTAACGCAGGAGTTACCATTCTCCAGCTCGTAATCCAGCAAAAAAAAAATTATATATGCCTGTGACATAATTAAAAAATGAAAAACTAGAGTAAAAAATGGAGACGCATAAGTTTATAAATTTAAAAACAGTCACAGACCCTTTGATTGGTTGAACTCAATATTAAAAATCAATAGGATCTAATAAAGATCCTCACCTCTCATCTTATTAACGGTGACATATTTTTTATATTATTCTGCAGGGTCAAACAGGATCGATCATGAAAATGGGTCAATTGACAATTATTATCGGGATCTGTAATGATATGCTAAAGACGGTAATGTGTTTAGTATTTATACACAAGGTTAAAGAGTCAGACTGGGCTATCAGCTTGACAGATTCTAATTTTACAAGTAATAAGGAGGGTAGTGTTTGGGGCAAATACATTCGCATAGATTTTTGTAGCATTTAAATATCTGAATAACCGGAAACTGAATCGTTAATGGTTATCGACTCACTGAGTTTGGTTATATATTTTAATTATATACAATAAAAAAATATATAACAGATATATCTATATAAGGTTGCCTTCTGGAATAGGTACAGGAAATTCAAATAGATAATCAATCTTACATACATAATAAAAGTCTTTATTTTGAGCCACTGTTGTTGTTATTTTAGAATACGCGGGCTCATGTATATATAACAGCTGCACCGTCGAGGTCATCTATATGATGATTTTAGGCAAGCATAAAACGAGAAGCAAATGGGGGATCCCAGATAACTAAATAAATTGTTAATGATATGCAATTTAAAAAAATTAAAAACTTGTTTCTGATACAAGGTTTTTTACGTAATGACTGATTTTAATGATGTTTAACTTCAATGATTTTTCTATTAACTGATTTTAATGGGTGCTAACATGGAGCTCTCGTCTCAGCTAACGTAATAAATCTACCCAGGATGTAACCAGGATGTTTTCCATAGGAACAGCGTGTATGTAGCCAACAATTTTTTTATGCTACGATGGTGACAAACTACCATACAGAATGATGATAAACGGTTTCGGGACGCCTGAAACACAAGCGTGTCATGCGCGTATTGCTGACTCTAAAACCGCCTATTAGCAACTTTGTATACTACAAATAAGGGCGGTATCGTATCAAGTAGCGTACACAGAAATTATCATTCATTGAACTAATTTGGATTCACACATGGCCGGTAATGTGATGTTGTCTGTATCTCTTTGTTGGACTGTTCCTAGTCCGATGATGTGGGTAGGTATTTATTTATACTGTTGCATCGACCCGCGTGTTTACAAATGTTGCAAAAACTAATGCAATTTTTAAATTTAGAATTTGTTTATTTCTATTGTTATGGGACGGAATATAATTATAATAACTCAACTACCGCAAAATGGAGTGGATCTTTGTTGTGTACGTGTAGCGTGTACCAATAATAAATGTTACTTGTAATATATTAATTTTAATATTTGTTAACATCAATACCTGACTTAAGTAGATATAAAATACCGAAGACTATTTCATGGTAACAAATTCAAATAATGTAAGGAAATTACGTAATAATATGAAGTTATATAAAAAAAGATCCGATTTCAAGTGTATAAAAAATTATATTAAATAAAACCATTATCTACCATACTTAACAGAGGAGCAAGTAGAACAACATATCCATCATTAATAGTGTAGTTTTTTTTTGTAGCAAAATTGTTATCTCGTGTTCAGAGAACGGAAGTTCTGAGTTGCTTTATCAATGTAACTAAATACAACTTGTTTATATTTTGTTTGTGACATCGTATCTAAACGTCTATTGACTACTTATTTGCATGTTACCAGCAAAACAATTCTTTGAATTCTCAAACAAGTCTGTTTGGGAGAACGTTATCCACAAACTTGTATACTTTGTTGTACTTCTACACAAAAAACCGACTTCAATTGTAACAAAATTTGTATGTGCAAGAGAAAATATAGTGACGTCAATAAAAACTTAAAAATAGCTTGTCATCAATCATTCAAGTAAATATTTTAGGTTGTTTTGCTTAAAAATCGCACTGTTATTCTTTAATTCCAAATTTAGGCATTGTCATTTCAAAGTCCAAGTATAAAAAAATATATTCGTATAAGATATTTTTACTACATACGTAAGTCGATTTTTTTACCAATATCCCTACCTTCCCATTCTTCTGGTTATTGCAGTTCTAGATTCAAATGGATATTAATGTACTTGTAGAATTAATACTTAAAAGTGTAAGCATATTTGTATAATGTAAATTATAAAGGATAAGGATAAAGGATAAAGGACCCATATTAATACCCATCTATTGTACAAAATTGTATATATTTGTACCTCACTATGCATTATCCATCAATTGGACATCAAAACATCAAATAGTTAACGGATATGATACATTTGTCGCATAATAATTGTCCCTAGTGATAATTCTCGTGGACGTCCATACTGAATATTTGATCGGAAACACACGGAAATTACGGATACTATAAAACTTTGTGCGAGAAATGAACCATTTCCTATGAGTTTTGAACCAAAACCATTGAGAGAGCTTTATTTTATCTGATTTTTTTTGAGAGTTTGAAGTTTAAACAACAAACTAATGATTGTTTTCATATTTATCTAGAAGTGCATTATTATACAATAATGAAAAAAAAACTATACTTAATACAGATGTGTTTCATCATAATATAAATTTTTATTATTAATGTAAATTAATATTCTGCTTAACATCAAAATATTTTTTCAAAGAAAATTAAATTTTTAACTCGTGTTACAATAGATAAGGTACTATATTAGGGGGGAATTACAAGAGTAGCTAAAAAAATGCAGAATAATATTTTGAGTGATATGGAGGATCAGAAAATTAGTTTGTGGGAGCTAGTTATTTATGTCACTAAAATTATAAATGTGATAAAATGCGTGATGATTAAATAATAATACTATATATATAGCGATACATTCATTGGTAACAACTTAACCCTAACAATGTACGTTACACAGATGACAATTTAAAATTTCGCAATTCTTAGTAATTGTTGCGAAAGTGGGATTGCTATTTTAACTATTTGAAAATTGACATAGTTAAAACTCAAGGTAGAACATAAATATTCTATAACGATGTCACCTAAATTTATCTCAGTCGCAAAAAACCGATACTACATCGTAGAACGTTATTTTTACCACACTATGGAGGGTCATCCGGTGCATCACAAGTATCACAACTCTAGGTCGGCGTCGCGCCGCCGCCGGGTCGTATGTACTATTGGTAATAATTAATATCGTTATTTCAACATAGGTACACATCGTACCCCTCAAATATATGCAAAATGAAAACTTTTAATTAAAATGTAATAGTCATTGTTATTTATATTTTTTAAAATCACTAGTATCCTGACGACTTAGGCGTAATGCCGGTTAGTCAGGGAGAGAAACACCTCAATGCCTACAATATTCACAATTATCTATCTCTTATTTGTTTTTATAATAATATCAACACTTTCGCTCCAAAACTCCCGCTGCCTCCGTTCAATCGTCCGTCATCCACTTGTCAATGTCACATAGATTACTTTGGCTCTGGCCTCTGACGTTCCGTTTCAGGTTACATGATTATTGACTTTACCATTTTTAATTAATGGTGCGTCACACGATAGTTAACAGTCGGCCATCCTGCAATAGTGTCTGGCCCAGACACATAGGTAACTGATGAGCGTAGTCATGCTTATCAAAGGATATAGTGTCTACAGGATCATATAACAAATACTTAACTAAATAAACTAAAGATACACATTACTTTCATAACATTGACTATCTTAGTATACTGTCAAAGGTTTACAATCTAAAATCAATACTAACAGAGCTAAGTTTCGGCATGCATTCAGAATGCACAAAATATAACATAACATATATTA